TTACTTGAATAAATCTTTTATTTATCCAAAACTGACATGGTATCTGATGATACACATTCCTCTTCATCCTCTACAATCCAGTTTGTGGCTGTCAGAATTATATATCACCAAAGTCTGTGTATATTAAAGAATAATGCATTACCCTCTAATCACACTACATATTTGGGCTGAGACGTTTAGGCTCCAGTGCCATACAATGCCAACACCACCACCTGTCTTGCTGGCACACATGTTAATTTTTTAATTCAATGACTAAAAAAGAAAAATAAACACTGGGCTATATACACATTACTACAAATGGCAGTATGAGTTTTGTCATTGATAGACATTAGGGATATTCTCAAAGACAAGATTCCAAGGTTTCAAAATTCCAGAATTCTGTGCAAAATTAGACCGACTGCCAATTATTAAGACCACTACTTCCCCTGATCCAGACAATAGCAATTATGTCTTTAGTTATTGTTCTTTATTTAAAAAAATAAATTTAGACAGCAGCAGCACCAGAGATGATCTCAATCAACTCTCCGGTAATCACAGCCTGTCGGGTGCGGTTGTAGGTCAGAGTCAGCTTGTCAATCATCTCGCCTGGGGGAAAAAAAACAATTTTTGAAAAATAATCATTACTATGCTTTGACTATTATATAATAAGAATTTTTAAATGTAACACCTATTTTTTCTACAGAAATACACAAACACCTGTCTGGAATTTAACTGGTATTTTTATCTCAAGTTCTTCCAGCCAGTAAAAGTAACATGTAAAATCCTTTCTCAAAAATAAACATCCACAAAAATCAAATAAAATACTGAATTTCAACTGCGTACACTAGTGCCAAATCAAGTCAAGCAACATGTACTGACCGGCATTCTTGCTGGCGGCATCCATGGCAGTCATTCTGGAAGACTGCTCAGAGCATGCTCCTTCCTTAAGTGTGTAGAACATGAGGGAAGCCAGAGAGTACTCCATGTAAGACTGGACAACATCAGCATCCAGGGAGTCGTAGAGAGCAATCTTCTCACCAGCGCTGATGGCATCCGAAGGGTAGAAAGGCATTTCTAGGGTGTCGTAGGAAACCACAGTCCTGCAGAGCAAAAGAAATTCATGTTTTGGGGGGGGCAAAGATTGACACAGGATAATTTGACTAGACTACCTTAAAACTTATGATCAGGATGACATTACAGTCCCATTATGGAAAGATCTGGGTCAAGGGCCGGTTGATGTGAACATGCCTTCATCGGGCAAAATGGCTGCGGGCCAGGTGACATCAACTTGCCGTCGTGAGCGAAAGCCAGGGTGATGGAAAAGACTCGCCACGAGAGCACAAACCTCGTGGAGTGTGATTTGACTCATTTAGCACTTAGGAGGGGGCTTTAGCATTATTCCCATCAATAAACGAATGTGAAATGTAACGTAAATAAACCTAGACGAGCGGCAGTTCCAGGGAGAATGCCATTTCCATGCTGAACGCTGTATTCCTGGCCGCTATGATTGGCAGCGCAGGTTGTATTACAGAAAATTGAAAATTATGAAAAAATGTCAACCAAATGTTCCATACTCTTTTTTTTGCACCTAGTTAATTATACTAGAGATGATATGGAGTCTGTGCAAGGAAAATAAGCTATTACCATCTGGATCAAGCAAATGAAAAAAATATGGACACTGGAAAATGGCAAAAATGCTAAAAAAAATTAACACAAAATAACTTTGCGAAGAGGAGGCATAGTCTTATCACCACTTGTGGGTTTTTGTGCATGCCAGGCCTATGCACCGCACGCCTGGGATGTTGGCTATTTACATAACCCACAGACCATATTTACAGCACCGTGATTTCCAAGACCCAACCAGATCCAATGGGTTAACTGAGATATCCAGGCATACATGAAAGGAGGGGGAGGGGGAGGGGGAGGGGAGGGGGGGGGAAATAAGACCACATACTTGAACTTGTTGTACACAATCTTGCCAGAGCCGAACTCGTAGCCAGAGTTCAGGATAAAGGTCATGATTCTACCAGCATCTTCAAAGGTTGCTGGCTTACGGCCGACCTCTCCCACTTGTGCAATAATGCTGCCAGCAAGTGTCCTGCAGGAAATATGATTGAAGTATTAAAGACAAGAAACCCCCCAAAATAAAAAATGAGGAACGGACAGGGAGGAAAAAAAATAAAAATAAAAATATATAAACAAGATATAAGGAATGAATGCAATCTTAAATTATCTTACGATCAAAAATTAGGAAAACCTAGCCGTACTTTCATTATCTAAAACAGGTATTAGCTTGATAATTATATTTCAATCCAAAGGCATTTAAATCAACTGCAGAATGGAGAGGAAGAGGAGAAGAAAAAACTTGCATGGCTAGGCTTCAAATTCTAAAACTCAAAACAAAAGTTTTAAAAGATTTACTGCTATCAAGCTAACCATATCCAGAAAATACAACAATTGTGAAAACAGCAACATTACTTCTACACCAAGAGAATTACAGTCAACAAACAAGATTAAACTTTTTAACCTTCCACTCATGGTTTGGGCCCTTTGATGGTGACAATGCAGCGAAAAATAAAAAACTGATCAATGTTGACAAAAATTTTAGAAATATTACACCTGTCCTTGGATTTTGATATTTATATCAATGGACAATCATTTACAGAAGAATGTAAATAAATATAAATTTAAATATGAAAGGGGGGAGAAGGTAAAGTAAAGTAAAAAAATGTTTTGTGAGCATATGGTCATTTGAACATGTTATTCCCAGATTATGCTAATTTTAACAAACTTATTATCTTCTTAAACAAAACTAATATCATCACTTTATCCCTTTATACTGAAAATTTTCTAAAAACCTTTGCAAATTTTTGATATATGTAGTAGCATTCTCCAATATATTCAAACTTTCACACACCCACCTCTGAAGCTGGGCTCGTGACTTGTCTCCTACGCAGATGATGGCTGCCTTGGATGCATCGCCTGCCAACTCTGCCTTGATGTGCTTGCAGATACTGGAGTGGATGGCACCGCACAGACCTCTGTCACTGCTGCAGGCCACAATCACCTGCTGTGGCTTGTCTTCCAAGGCCTTGACCTCAGCCTTTGGAGATAAAGAATATTAAATGGACGAATAAAAATAATGAAAATGAATCATAAATAAATGTAACACTCATTGTGTGACCCTTAATTTATAAATATTACAAAATTAAAACTTGACAATAAATGAACTAACCAGAAATTGAAAAAAAAATAATTCAATCAGTAATATAATATATATATATATATATATATATATATATATATATATATATATAATATATATATATATATATAATATATATATATAATATAAAATTTGCAATATAGGAATTGTGTTCAAACGGAGTTTCGCTAAGGTTTACACAAACTTAGCCCTACCACTATAGTACAATATCATTTATAATTATTTTCTTAGGAAACAAGAGTACAAGGTTAACCATGGCTAACTAGACTGCCACAGCCAATTAAATCCATTGTTTCATCTACATGTACAAAACATACCTTGTCATAGAAGGCAGCAGCTCCTGCACCATAGGGGCGGGCAGGCTTCAGTTCTCTCTCAGCTCGGGCGTACTTGGCCGCTGACACCATCTTCATGGACTGTGTGATCTTCTGGATGTTCTTGACAGACTTGAGACGCATTGCGATGGCCTTGAGGGTGGCCATCCCTCGTACCTGCTGCTGCCCACTGGAAAATGAAAAATATGATGAAAATATCAGAACAATACCATATATGAGTTACAAACAAAATATACTAATCTGATACAAATATAAAATGTTTGCAGTTTCACCATAAAAAATACACACAGCCATCTTGGTATGTATCAAAATATATTACAAGCAGCAATTAAACTAAAGTTTGTTATCCAAATGGAAGGAACATTCAGGTGAATATTTCCAAATCTAATTTTCATCTTGTAACTATATTGCAAGACAGTTTCAACAATTTGGTCGTGAAATACCTGCAACTAAGATCAAACTATACAAAAGTATGGAATACAAGAAAACTAGTTTTCAAAATATAATAGTATTTAAAGTTTAAATTAATCTTATTCAACATACCAAATAAAGAAATAGAAAAAATCTGTAAACCTGTTTCTTCAAAAGGACAGCACAATGATTTTCCAATATTACTCACTTCGTACATTATCATCAGCAATATTAAGAATTCAGACACCTGCACAAATTCTAGGTAAGATACAATTTCGATACAACAAGAGTACAAGGAAAATAATAAGAGTAAGAGATAGATTAGATTTGAAATTTGTCATGAGGGGAAAAAAAAAAAGGTTTAAAAATAACCAGACCTAGTGATAGGTCATATCGAAGTTCTCACATTGGCCAGCTTTCCTTCAATACTCTAGTAAAGGCCACCCCCTACCCCTTATCCAGCTCATTCTGATATTGGGCTCAGTTCATTGCTTGATGAAATCTCCACAAACTAAAACTGGTATCAGGGTTATTCATGCATCTTTTATCACTGACAGAAAATGAGCAGCTGCTATTTTAATATCAACACAGAGCTCAAATATGTTTTAGTTACCAATAAACTAAGTTTTGGTGATGCCCCTTTTTCGTACATGTTTGAAACAGGTTTAAATTCTTCTGCAGCCATGTCAGTTATCATCTAAACAGTCAAGTGTAAAAAATCATGGCAATGGTTAACCATACCATTGGCTAGGGAGGTTTTAGTTTACTAGGCAATGTTTTTGGCTTTCTGTAAGTGCCCCTAAACTTGATTACTGGGACTTATCTCCAGAGAGGTGTGGTCTCTTCATAAATCAATTACAATGCTGACCTCTATGCTATTCTCTCTGGCAACAGCCAACTACCTGAGTGTGGATACCACATCACTAGATGTAGTTACAGATGGATTAATGGACTTTAATAAAATAGATACCTGGATTTTCTTATACTTTGTGTATGTTTTTTCTTCTTTTGAGATGGGGTACAAATTAAGTTAAGGAGTTTTCAGCTCCTTGTATTGTTTGGTAACAGTAATACTACAAATAAAATAAAGTCACAGAAAGCAGAACTTGCAGCCTAATTCCACTCTGTTTTTCAGCTCTATCTTACCATTTGAGGTGAAGACAATGTTTGCCAGGGAGTGTAAGGTGGTGGAGCCCCCCCTTCTACCCTCCCTTGGGCACTGCACAAAGGACTCACCCAGTCAAATACAGACTGCTGAATAAATTTTGTGATATGGAATTAGACTATCTCTGGCAAGTATTTCTGTACTATTAATTACCAAGATTGGTTATGACTGCAAGCCTCAGGCTTAAGTTAGCCCACCAGGCTAGGAAACAAGTTTTTACTAGCCTGTAGCAAGTTTTACTAGCCCTAATATTGATTTCAACACAAGATTATTCTAAAAACTAAGGTGCATGGCTCGATGGCACACAATGCTGCATGCCCTGTGTGCTGCTGTCTACTTTTAACTAGTCTGCTGGACTAGTTAAGTAGTGCATTTTATAAGCCGGTGGCTGGTTTTACTAGACAATGACCATCGGCAAAGTGCTAAGGTTCGCCCTGGACTGTACAATTAACATGCACAAAAGCAATTTATGTAGGGTTACCATGCAGACAAGTTGTTTGGTGCAAATAAAGTTGGACAGTTTCCACTTGACATTTGTTTTCTCAATCTTAGTGTAGTCATCATGAACATGTGTGAAATACTTGGAATACAGAGGATTGGTCAATATACAGTCAAATGCAGGGAGCTGCTATCACCAAACCCTTACCCTAGACCACAATTAATCTATCACTCATACAGGAGAGCTAAAGAGACTCAACACTGGGAGTTTCCACGTGTTGGTTGTAAGCTCTACCCTGATGTGATATGGAGGATTTTTATGCTTTCCACGGCAGGGGTTGGGGGTGGTAGCCCCCAGGAGGGGAGAAGCATAAGGCACAGCCCCCTGTATTAGACGACAGTGTTATTCTGTAGGTATTATTTATATCTAACTCAGCAATTTCACTGGTACCTTTCATACCCCAGCTTCTATTGCAAAAAATGGTCACCAATGGGTGAAGAGGAGAGGGGGGGGCTTGCTGCATAATTTTGATAATTTTAAGACGAGTCCACTGAAGGTAAAACAGTTGTGATCTGTTATGTGAAGGTATTCCAAATAACCAACAAATAAATACCATTTCCAAGACTGCTGTGGCCTCATCAAACATTCATCCTATTCAGCAATCTTTTATAGCATGGATGCATTCGCCTGAGACTGTCCTCCAACTCCACGTCACTACCTCTATTCAACAAAAAAATACATGAATGCCCAAGAGAAGGGTTGATGGGGTAATTGTTACAGAGAGCAATGCACTCTCCAGAGACTGTCCTAAAACCAGGCTATCATGTATATTAAAAAACCAGACCTAACCTTTCCTACCAAATATTTATTCCCTTGAAAGGGGTCAAGCCCCAATGTAACCCCATTTATTAGGACTAGGCCCAATTATAGAAAAACTGTGAGGGTGTTGTGGACATATTCGTCATCTACCGGTAAATATGAAGTTGCTGCTGCTTAAACTCGTTTTTTTCTTACTCTCAGTAACTAAGTATGCACATCAAGATAGAGCCAAAACTCAAAAACATCAAGTGACTTAAGCTGTGAGATGTACTAGTAATCTTTTTCTTTGTGGTGTACAGACTGTTTCTTAAACCTATGACTAACTTTGTCCTCTACAAGAATATTGGTTAATCTTTACGAAGTGGACACACAAAGTTATGGCAAATTGGATATATTCTTGCAGAGGACAAAAAGTTGCAGTAGCCGGCACAAGAAATAATCTACAGACACGGACAGCAATGCCACAAAAAAGGAAAAAGACCGCAGAAAGCGCCGCTCTTAGCCTAAGTCCACTTGGTGCTCCCAAGTTTCATCTAACTTGCCATACATAAGAGGTGAAGACAATGATTCCCGGCGATATTTTACAAAGGTAAAATATCGCAGAAATCATCGCTCTCAGCTGAAGTCCATTCGGCATTCCTGAGTTTCAGCTCGCTTGCCATGTATACCGAGATAAAGACAGTTTGCTAGGGGTGGGGGATTGGGGGCAGAGCCCCCCATCAACCCTCCCCTTGGGACACACCCAATCATGGCAACTTAAATTGATACATTTTTGGTAATTTCTCTCACATACCTCAATTATTCTATTATTAAGTTGTGAAGGTAAACCCACTGAAGAAAAGTTTTATTTTCATTTATAATGTCCACTAGAGGTAAAAATGTTCTTCTAACTAATGACTAAGTGAAACATTATTCCAATTTTTTTTACAATGAGTTGGGGACTTCATATTAGGTGAGCGCGTCTGTACTGTAAAGAATTACCCAAAGATTAAACTTGTTCCTTATTAAAGAGCAAATCACTATCAGAAAAGGGGTAAATTCTAAGAGGATTTGCTTCTTTCACTGAATTGCCACATCCATACAGGTCAGCAGGAGCTTGAGTACCTACAGGTATGTTAATGGTATGTTAATGGAGAGTGTTTGTAGGTCTTCACTACGTTATTTTCTAGTACAAGTAATGGGTATGTGCTATTGGGGAAAAATTAGATAACGATCTCCACACGCTCCTCGTTACAAGCTTTATTGAAAGACAACAACCAATCAATTGTCTTTTGGAAGCTATAATACTATATCATATTTACTGACGAAAATGTTTCATTGCCGGTTCATTACATAAGGAATCATCATGCCACGAAATTGTTAATATGATGTGTATTTCCTCTTCGCATGGGAAATAATTCCATTTGTAATTAAGGAGGAGGTGTTGCCACTGAGGTATAATGAAAAGTATTTGTATTTATAGGCGGATCAGCTGATGCAGAGCCGGCCATCGCAGCCATCTTTTACAAACTCTCCCGGCTCTCTCACTTCTACCATTTTCTTCTTGTCAGAGGATGCGACGCCTTCAGAAAATCAATCCCCTACTTGCTAATATCATTAAAATATCAAATATTCTCCTGAAAGAGCGAATTGGCTTACTGTTGAGGCACGAGAAGAGTCGCCCGGCTGAACATCTTGGTGGACTTGGCAGACGGAGCAGCGGCGATGGCCCACAATGCACTGAGAGGAAGACAAGTGAGCCGCGGGGGATAGGCTGCGCAAAGGACAACTTTTGCCGATATGATATTTGATATTATGCTTATCTTGGTGCTGATGAGATTTACCATTCACTTGGCATCATATCAATAGGATGTTTCAAAGTAGTTTATTTTGTTTGTTTTGGTGCTTATCGGTATTTAGAATTGGTATAACATTATTCAAAACATGTATGCTATTAAGCAAAGAGTGATGGTATGTTAATTACAATTAGTGTAGTACAGTAACTTATGTAAATACATAGAAGAAATTCACCAGTTGTAATAATAATATAAATATTGTGCCTTCCTCAATGATAATTATTAATACGAAATCGGGCATTAAACGTTTAAGTTAGAAAAATGGAAAATTCTCGGATGTAAACAATCGGAGCACGTTTAAAGGCTGAGACTACTCCAGAAAAGCTTTTAGGTATGGATTATTCACGTATACTATATTTATATATATCAGGTTGTTAGTACGAAAGTGATAATGAACTTTCTACTTGGTGCGGTGGTCTGGTGTGGATTCAAGTGTCTCTGTACTAACAAGGGGCAACAATCTTTAAAACTAAAAATGATGAAACTACTGATGTGTATCATGCGTTATATTCCGTGACTGTTCTTTCGATAACCTGAGGTAGAAGTGTGCGATATGAATAGAGTTTCGTTCATTTCTAAGACCTAGTGACATGTCATTGATGTGAATGTTTGTTGTATTGATAGTTTTGAGGCTATGAGGTAGGATTCATTCACATTCATTTTCAACTTTGAGAGCTAGAGTAGATATCACAGATACTATAATTACGGGATGAATATCATTTAACACCTTCAGAAAGCTTGTGTTTATTATTGGAATGTTTACTTTTTCATCGCTTCAACTCAGCAGAAAATAGACTTTTTCAGTGTAGGCTAAGGATGGATGATGAAACAAGTGTGGAAAGCTCAAAAGAATTTTATGGGTGGAAGATGGTTTAAAACTGTGTGCATGGGAAGTTAAGCGAGAACTACATTTGCACGGGCAGAATTTGACCAAATAATTTTTGCAGACCAGATTCTACAGTCTGGGGTAGTTTCTAAGGTGTAGGTAAAGTTTCAACCAGCCGCCACTTACAAAGCAAATAATATTTGGAGTGACAGCTTGAAGAAATCTATGAAACTAATCTCAGTAAACACTTCATAGTTGCTGCAGTGCCAGCAGTCCCCTATTCCATTCTACGAGAGGATGATCATACCCCACAACAACAGTCCCATACTGGTAGACAGTATGGAGTCCATAAACCATTGCTTTACCTGGTTGGAATATATATCTTTTTTGTGAATGCATTGAATCGAGCAAAGACAATGTATGGGCAATAGTTTTTTACTTTTAATAATAATGTTCTGAAGTGACAATAGGTAAGTGATTGTTATTCATGCTTGTTTTTAATTATGCATGGACTTTGTTTTTTTTGTGATGTTAGTTATGTTAGAATTCAAATATCTGCGAGAAAAAAATTGTGTAGAAACAAAAATGATGATGGTTACAAATCAAGATCGTTGTCACAATGAGCATTTGCGTGTTTTTCAACCTGGTTGCTTTTCCACCAGATGGCAGGTGTTTTGTGAGAGTGCTATAAATGCCTACCACATTACTACATATTAGCTTGGAAATCACTCTCTAACTACTGTCATGGTATAAGGTTTCTTACCAATGGGCAGATCTGGCATGAATCAGAACACCACCACCCACATCCATATGGTTAGTGACACAATATACTCAAAACTCTTGCACTGCAACATGATTTGACATAATTTGACCAGTGAAATGGAGTAATCTGTGAGGAGGGCTTTGAATTCCTCAGGTCTTGGTAGGTAAGTCTAAGGTCATTTATAAATTTTCTTCAAACTCCTTAGTAAGATCCCTGATATGCTATTCTTTGTCCCTCTTAAGCAGTATCAGAGTCCTACCTGCAAAGCATTAAGGCAGGTCTCAATCAGCAGTCAGTTGAGCCACATGAGCCTCTATTGCTTTCTGCATGATAAAATTCTGCCTTTGGTTTGAGTGGTTGTCAGTGGACTCCTGAGTTGCATCAGGTATTTTGTGTTTGGTGTCCCACAGTGCTACAGGGTCCATCAGGTTGTTGAGTGTTATGAAGCAAGCAGAGATAGCCCTGATAAACCTCTGAGCAACTCCTCCTCCCTCGGTCTGTCCAAGGTAAACACACTGGATGGACAAGGGGATTTGAAATGAGTGATCAGTACCACAAAGCTCAACACTGGTAATCACTGGAGGATCCTCTAATGAGTGCTGAGATCAGTAGCTAAAAATCCCAAACTATGTGGACTGACAGACATTTATAGCCAGCTTGATCAAAGTCAGAAACTGCATTAAAGTCACTCAGAATGGGTTGGAGTTGCCTCTGTTACCAAAGGCTAAAGTCTTCTGGAAATGGTGATCATTGCTGCACCTAGACCAGTAACAGGTGTAATCACCTTCATGAATTGTGCCCCTGCCAATTTTTCTCACCTCTGTTGTATTTACCCACTCAGACAGCCCTGTCTGAAGTTAAACCTTGGGCTGTCAATTTGCTTCGCCCCTCCTTTATTTGGATTTTGTGGTTAATCTTTTTTGATTTCTTTAGAATTAAACAAGTAGCAAAATACCAGATACTGTGATGGCTGCACTTTCAGGTCTATCAAAATACTATCAGTTGTTTTATGTTTATATAATAAACAAGATAGCTCATACCATATAATGAAATTAGGAATTTTCTTCTCTATATAAGTGTGGATATGTAGAGCAAGATATGAACAAGTTTAGGAAGGTTCAGCATGATTACAGTAGCTGTTTAAGTGATAATTTATGTATGGAAAATTAGGAAGAGGATAGTATCACTACGTACAGTATATATGTATATGTTGTGTGGTGTACTCATTGCTAACTGTCAACTCACAATGGTTACATTAGAAAGTTTATTATTGGTTTTTATTATTGTCCATGGAATGGAGAAGCCTAAAAATTTTGTAAACTTAGAATTGAAAATCACCCAAATGAAGTTATTCTTCCCATATCACTCCATGAAAAATGTACATTACATTTCTCACCATTTGCATTTTTACTGACTTACAGAATTAAAGAAATACCTAAAGGAAAGAAAGTCTCTGCAAAGATGGCTCGAGGTCGAGGGGGTGGAGGTTCCCGAGATCGAGGCAGGAGACCTTTTGGAAGAGTGGGAAGGAAAAACACAGATGACCTTGCACGGAAGCGGAGACAGTATCAGGAATTTGGAGAAGCCCATCCAGTAGAAGAAAAGGATTTAAACCTAAAGAGAAGAAAGGCAAGGTGTCTTTCCTTTTTGAAATAAAGTTTTTGTGTATGTGTGCATGCATGTGGGTGTACTTCTGTTCATGCTTGTGTATGTTTTGATATTAAATGATGTGGTGCAGACTGAATGGGCAGAATTCATATTGAGTTTAATCAACAGGTGGAAGACACAGAGGAAACCTTAGAGGATGAACATCAGTCTGAGTCATCTGATGACAGTTCATCCAGTGAGGATGAAGCAGGTGCTGGTGATGCAGTTTCAAGACTTCTTGCCACTTTCAACACCACTGCCCACAAGGCCATTGACAGTGATGAAGAGGAGGATGACAGTGAAGATGATGATGAAGATGAAGACGATGTTGAGGAGGAAGAGAGGGAAGTAGAGCAAGAAGGAATGGTAGATGATCTTGGAAGTGAAGAGGAGGATGAAGAGGATGGTGAGGAGGAGGAGGAGAGGAGGAGGAAGAGGAAGAGGAGGCAGATGGGAAGAAGAGGGTGAAGAAGAGGAGGAAACAGGTGGAGTAGAAGTGGATGAGGTGGTGGAGGAGGAAGATGAAGCATTTGGAGAAGGTTCAACAGATGATGATGAACAAGAGGGTGATGTAAGTAATTTGCAGGTTTGTAATTAGGTCATTTATTGCCTTCATATCTTTTAATTTCTTGTAAGATAAAAATGAAATGTAATGTTATCACCTTTCCAATGTTTTTAGTCATAATTTTCTAAAATTATTTTAGTGAGGCTCTAATTATTATATGAGAGGCTTGTCCATTGTTTTATGTAGATATTAATGTTCCAGAATGAAGAGGATGAAATAGATGATGAAGAAGATGAGGAAAGCACTTCTTTCATAGAAGACCCATTTTCCAAACATTTTGAGCGCAATATGAGCGATTCTGTAGCTGACCAAGTGAAAGACAGGAAGAAGTGGACGTCAAAATTTGAAAAGTGGCCTGCGCTGGGGAGAGTGAAGGTGGAAGTTCCTTCTGTTGAGGTGACTGTCCCCAAGTTGCTTCTCCTCTCTGACAAAGCTGAAGCAGATTGCGATCTGAACATTGGCACTGTACCGAAGATCCCAAAGAAGAAGGATTACAAACTGCAGGACTATTATGTCAGGAAGTTGCTGTGTGAGAATCTCCCACATGCCAACTTTGATGGGAACTCCACGTGTCCCACAAGTCTTACGGAGACCCAGAAAGAGCTCCTGGCCATCCTGTCCAATTACTCGGACTTGTACTTCCCTGAGGCAACCCATGAGAGATGGGAAGAGATCCGAACAGTGTACACACTTCATGCTATCAACCATGTCCTAAAGACTAGGAAAAAGGTGCTCAATCACAATGGCAAGATCAGCAAGGCTAAGCTGGAGAAGAGACACGAAGACTTGGACTGTTACCGAGATCAAGGCTTCACCCGACCCAAAGTCCTCATTCTCCTGCCTTTCAAACACACGGCCTACAGGTTAGATATTTTAGTGATATCAGGTGATTGATTGACCTAAAAAGTTTAAAGTAATATATTCTCATGATCTTTAATTTTTTTCTTTGATATATTTTATCATCATCATTATTATTGTTATTGTTGGACTTATTATTACTATTGTCATTATTATTGGAGTTGTTAGTAGTATAGTTGTAGTAATAGTAATAGAAAGAAGTAGTAGTAGTAAAACTCTTCAATGAAAGTTTTCCCATGACAGAGTGGTGGAGACCCTAATCACGCTCACCCTTGAAGGGAAAAAATCCATTGTAACAAATCACAAGCGCTTCAAGCAGGACTTTGGGCCAGGAAGTGAAGACGAGGGTGAATTGGCTAACAAGCTCAACAGACCGGATGACTTCAATGAAATTTTCAGAGGGGACACAAAGGAGGACTTCAAAATTGGTGTCCAACTGACCAAAAGCAGTGTGAAGGTGAGTTCTGGCCTTGGTTTTATTTATTTATTTATTTATCTATTTATTATTATTATTATTATATATTATTATTATTATTATTATTATTATTATTATTATTATTATATTATTATTATTATTGTTACTATTTAGATTTTTTCCTGTAGTTCAATATTAATTTTTTTTCTTTTTTTTTTTTTTTCTTTTTTTTTCTGAGATAAAAAGTATCACCTCTTCAGCATTTGTTATTTTATTACTTATATTAGTTTTTGAGTTTAGGTTGTTTATCATTAAGTCCATTATTGTAGATATTAGTCCTATTACACATATCACCTTTAGAAAAAACAGTTTCAGTGCAAGCTAACAGAATTACACATGTAAGTGACTTAGAAATATTATCATATTCTGATTAATTAATGTAATTTTCATTTCTGAGAAATATCTTCCACATTTTTTTCATCATTCTTGTTCATAATTTTTATTATGCACATTTCTGATAAGTTCATCATCATCATTAATGCCGACGGGGCGCTTAGCTGCATCCACCCTTTGTTTCTACCTTTTGGGTCCCTCATGGCAAGCTGCCAGGCAGGGACTCGGCCCATCTCAAGCTCCTCACGACAGTTTGATCGATTTGCCCAAGCCACGACCTCCTAGGTCGTCCCACAGGCTTCCTCCACCCAGCGTTGTCTCTTGCAGAGACAACCTGATGGGCAGGATCATCCTGTGCGAAACGAGCCAAGTGGTCATATTGCCTGAGTTGGCAATCACGGGTTGTGCAGGTAATAGATTCTGTGCCAGTCTCACAGTGCAACCATTGGTTGGACATGTGATCCCGCCATCTGTACCCCATGATCCGGTGCAAGGACATATTACAGAAAGCATCAAGATGAGACTCCAAGGCACAGGATAATGTCCAGATTTCAAAACTGTATAGCAAAACTGGCATTATCAGGGCCTTGAAAACCTGTAGCTTGATCTTTCTGCACAGGTACCGGCATCTCCAAATACTCTTGTCGAGAGAGTTCATGACCCTAGGCCAGTCCGTCTGCTGACTTCCTGGTCTGACAGCCCAGAGTTATGAACTACACTACCAAGGTATGTAAAGCTCTCTGTGACTTCAATGGTCCAGGAGACCTCTAGACCCAAGGGCTTCGCTTCATTACTAAATGCATCCAGGCCACCACTAAGGTTTCCAAAGACTCAGATAGAATAGCAGCAGCATCGGCAAAATCAAGATCTGTAACCTGGATATTGCCCAGAGTTGCTTCACAATGACTTTGAACAGTAGCTCTGCCCAGTATCCAGTCCATGCAAGTATTGAAAATTGTTGGTGCAAGGACACAGCCTTGCCTCATTCGAACTAACAGGAAAGTAGCTCAACAGGCCCCCACCACACTTTACAGCACTTTCAGTACCAGTATACAGACTAGCTATTAGTCCAATAATCCTTGTTGGAATTCTTCTCAGTCTCAAGATCTCCCAGAGTGATTCCCGATGCACCGTATCAAATGCCATCTTGAGGTCGATGTAGGCTGCAAGCAGCCCACACTCGAACTCACAACGGCGCTCTACAATGACACGAAGCGCGAGGATACGGTTTATTGTGGACAGCTGTCTGCCACAGATGCCAGTTTGGCATAGAACATCTCTTTCACGTCGAGTTTACAAACATCGGTAGGAGCATACACAGCAA